AATATACAAATGCTATGTATTTAATTATATGTATTAACAACGAACTAATTACTTGTATCATTACCCTAATCAATTACACGAATAAACCGATTATTATTACTAAGCGGAAATTAGAATTACTCAATAAATGCTTTAGTTCAAACGCTTATAATGCGCTTGATTGTACGAGTATGGAGATGCGATGCGAATATTTCTAGTAGCTAGCCAACGCTTTGATAAACTATTAGCAACTTAATTTGACACAAATTAGTTATGTATATCTTTGTAATCTGGAAGCCAATTAATTACAATACTTTATACGTATACCTACTATAAACACATACATACATACCTACATTAATACATACATATGCGCCGTTTAAGTGAGAAGCAACCGTTAAGTAGCATATTTTTACGATTAGAAAGTGAATGGCTTATGGAGGAAGGCAAATCGAAAGTGCTTCAGAAAAGTGTTGAATAATAAAGCTTTGTATTAGTTGATGCGGCGTGTAATAGGCTAGCGAGTTTATATAGAGACGAATTAGTTAAGAATTGCAAGCGCGTAATAGTTGTTGATTTGGAATTGTAATTGAGGTGAGTTTGTTAACTCGAAATGAAAGCAGGGATTAAAAGGTGGCCAAGTTATATAGCAAAACATAAACTATGAAAAGAAGAAAAATTATGAAATACCTAAAATGAATTTATGCAGATGAAATTGTAACAAGCAAATGGCCAACTTATACACACACATACATACATACATACATATATATGTATTTAATATTTGTAAACAAAATATAAAAAGAATTATGCAATGGCTAAGTAATGTAAGAGGCAGTATTGGAGACATTGAAAGAATGTAGCACAAAAGCTTGGCTGGCACAAATCATTGCGGTTGATTGGTAAACTTTTAATGACATAAAAATTAAATGGAAATCATCATTGATCAACCTTATCAAAATTATTCTACAAATGTATTACGTATTATTTCTTAAAAGATCCAATCATTCGTCGAATTTTTTGTTATATTGAATAGAAAAATAATTTTCTTTTTTCATTTGGCCTTTTTACAAAGAGCATACATTCAGGTGTTATAACACATTTGATTCCACATTGACTGGGTTTTAGAGTATCACTGTTTTGTAAATGATCCCAAGTCTAGTCGAACTTCTGTCCTTCTCTATAGTTTTAAAACAAAATCAATACCCTGTACTTAGGAAAATGTTCCCACTATTTACATTCTTACCTTGTAATTTTTTCCAACATCCTCTAGTAATTTAGGAGTAACTCTTTGGGAAATTTTGCCACTTTCTAATTTAACTGAATTTCATGCAGCTCGCGAGAAACATTTTAATGTTCTTAATTAGTGTTATATGTATGTATAATTCCTATAAACGTTTCCCCTTAAAAATTGTTTGAACAATAATTCGTAAACAGTGCCTTAGATTGAAAAGCAAAGAGAGCAGGAGTAGTTAAGCTACCTTCTTACATACATATGTACATTCATCTCAAAATTATATGGAGAGACAAATTTAGAGTGAGAAACAGTCGTAGTTGAAGGGAGGAGGTGAACTTAAAACGAAAGCAATACATAACAAAGGAGTGCGATAAATTAATTACCTTTTTGAATGGGAGTTTCAATTTTAACAGTCGTAACGAATTTCACTTCTAAGAAAATCAAGTCAAAATAACACAAAGAACAACAAATCTATCGTAACAATCAATCAACCAATCAATCGCAATAATTTGTAGCCAGCAAAATCTAAATCTATTTTCATATGAACTATTCATACTAGCATCCTTTTTCTAATAATAGTTTTTTATATGGTACTAAATAATAATATCTAAAATAACTAAAAAAGTAAGCGTACATACATATGTATACCAAATATGGCAACAAAAACTATACACTAACATTCCTGAAATCTAATTTGCTTCGAAAGAAAACTTTTGCTAGAAAACTAAACTATACCAAACTGAAATTAGCTGCTAAACTGCAAAAAAAAAAGAATTACACTGTAACTAGGTTATATTAACTCAGATACAGTGACTCAAACAAGTGTTCACATGTTGATTATTTGAGAAATATTCACAACGACTTTCAAGCATATTTTGTTATATAAAAATATTATTCATCCTCTAGCCAAAGCCATATAAATCAAAGTCTCATACAAAATTCAACAAATTTTCAACATTTAAAATTTTTTAATATATGTACATAAATTTTTAGTAAATTTTTGGGTATGCAGTATTATATAAAGTGCGAAAAATCGCGTTGACTGTTAATAATTTTTTCTTGCTGACGGACTTTTGCGTTGTTTTCGATATAAATATGAATTTCTTATGGAATAAATTGCGTAAGACCGTTCGCAAAAATTTCAAAAACTCAACGCCAGGTTTTAGAAATTGTATTTCAAGAAAAAATTTATTAAAAATAAACGCGATTTTTTAGCCGTTTAAAATTTGCACTTTAATCAAAATTTTATTGGCTATTAAAACTATATTAAAAAAAAAACATTTTAACAAGAAAAACATTACTAATAAAAAATAATCAACATTTGAATACTTGTTTGAGCCACTGTATCTATGTAATACTAGAAGTGAATTTTATGACTAATGAAATGAGTCGAAGGAAATTTTCATGCATACATACATACATAATTACACGCAAGCAGTTAATAGTGTTGATGAGATTCTTGTGGAATCGGCAAAATCCTTATGGCAGCAGCAGGAAATAATTATTAGTGTTATTCACCAAATTGAGCACGGGGCCTGGCACTGTTGTCAACATTCGTTGCTTGAGCTCATCTGCTCTGTTGCCAGACTGCCAGGCCACTTGGCTCACTTTAGTGAATACCACTATTGCTTAAGGTTGCCTAAAGTACACTTTAGTTATGCCTAACTGCATATTCCAATTTACTTATAAACGTAAATACATACATATTTAGATACATACTACACACTACTTACACTAAACAACATGCATACACAATGAGTATCTATAGTATACATACTTACATACATATGAACAACTGTAACACCAACCAATTGCATTTATTGTAA